CCGGCGGGATCGTTTTATAGCGCGAGCAAAGTTTTGGCAGAGGAGCTGTGAAGCCGTGCGGGAGAGTTGGAAGGAGACGCTTTGAGGAATTTTCTCGCGCCTTCCCGCCAAAATTTTCACACGCGCAAAACGATTCCGCCAGCTACGCATGTGTAGGCTAGGATTGAAAGGCAGCACATAATAGTTAAGAGTCAGCTCAAACCCTACGGAAGGTTTTGACAGCCCGTGCAACTCTCCTCATCTCCCGTTCTTACTGATCAAGAACAGCCTCTGTATTGTATGACGTTTAATATTGTTTTAGCAAGTTTAAGACCGGACAAAAAATTATCATCAGCCACTCCTTCAACTTACCGGGTGGATAGAAGCACCAGGGGGTCTGACCGTCATCAAACGAGTCGTCGTAGCAGCATCCTTTTTGCATACATTCCTCCTTTGTTATTACCACATGTCCACAATCTGTGCGGTCAGACGGGGCAGTGCGGCACATACCGTATGGGATATCTGTACCAGAAAAAAATTGTTGAAGTTAGGTTAAAAGAGCTTGAGAAGACAGAAACTAAAACTGATTGACTCGCAAAAAGCTGTTTTTTTAGTAGCGTACCATCTTAACAGAGGACTCGAACTATATTTAGGTATATATAGGTGGATTTCACGAGTTAAAGTATATGAAAGTGAAGGGAAATTTAACATTTGGTTATGTTAACGCGCTTTTAACTAAATTATTTCCAACAGAGAAACCTATGGCATTTAATTTATTGAACGCCACATGAGAAAAAAGACATCCTAAAGTAAGTATGTATATGAGGTATCATTTGTCAAATGAAGGTTATACAAAAGGGTGTCCCCGATTTAGTAGGCTACCTGTGGTCAGCTAGAAGATTTTGACACGTTAATAAAGTTTTTCATTCATTCACCTTCCGGTCTAAAATGGTATAAAGCGGCAAGAGGGTTGGATTTCAGAGCGGACCCTCTATAGCGTAAACCTTTGCCGAGTAGCCACCCAAGGGACTATAGCCATCGTCTGATGTTAGGTGTGTTTTTCCCGCACCATTTAGTTTTTCATTTCTTTTGCTGCGTCTTGCAGGCGGATCCGGCCCCAGTATCCAAACAATAGGCAGATTTACAGAAGACAACGCAACCTCAAAAGAGAAAGCGAAAGCGCGCGGAGAGGACTGAACGCTACGTCCGGTGCCCTGAGTGAGTTTGCCGTTCTGTAGGCTCTTGCCTTGAGTGTGTCATTGGTCAATTCAGTTTTTAGATCTATGCGCGCCGTCACCACTGTCGTCGCATTGTCTTTGTTCAATTAAGTCTGGGTAATATGAGAAAGGAGACTTATTCATCTGACAAAGTCTTGCATCTCAACAACAGAGCAAGCTAAGGATGGTGCCTAAATTAATTGATTTATCAGTACATAGCTGTCATTTCACTTTCCGCAACCTATACTCTTTCCCGAAGTCCTTGATGCAGCAACAAGCCATCCTTAATTGAATCCGCTTTTCAACAACAACAACAAAATTCACAAGCTTTTTAACGATCTATTTTTAGACCCGGCGCCTGAATTCGCAAGAAGCTGAATACTCACGCCCAAGGTCCTTGACATAACACCAAGGCGTGCTTTTATCATCAGGTTTGGCCCAACAACATGTTCTCTTTTCACACGTTTTTTGATCGATCTCCTTCCACCCACAATCTTTTTTAGGCTTAGGTCCAGTCATACATGATGGCACTGTAGGTAAATTAACAACAAAATCGACAATGAGGTATTTATATAATATGATCATGATATAACAAAAATTGACAAATTCGGTTGGTAAAGGGTAATGCTGTGCTAAGCAAACAGGCGACATTTCGCGTCGCTACCACTGGTTTCCCGCGAAGTTTATGGAATTTCTGCACTCGTTCATCAGACCATAGTTAATTGAGTGGAATGGTTATGAAACCCGTCAGACTCCTTTGTTATATGTTTTTGTGGACCTGAAAGTGCACAACGTTCAAAAGAATTCCTATCATTTTGATTGTATTGACCAATAAAAACGTTGCATTAATTTATTCCGTAACAATTTGCCAACAGAAAACAAAGGATTGTGCACTTTCACGGTGCTTTGAACATAAACTGCAGCACTGTTGTTTTTATCATTGATGTTTGCCGCTTTTCATAACCAGTCTCCTCTAATAACTATGATCAGACGTCATTTCGCGCGGGAACCATTGCTGGGGTCGCCAAATGACGACTGCTTTCTCATGCTAGGGTTATGCCTTAGGCAGCTTTTAATGTGCTTTTCCTGAAGACACCATCATATCCAGTTTCTTCCTGGTTACTGTGTCTGCGGATGAAAGGCTGTACTACAGTGTGACCAATCAAATGAAAGCTACTCAGAGCAGTGCTCTCCTGGTGGTACTGTTTATTATGCTGTACGGGGAGGTTCTAACTTTTGAGTCTGTGGATGAAAGGCTGTACTGCATTGTGATCATTCAAATAAAAGCTACTAAGCAAAACATTCCTGGTACTTTTTATCATGCTCTGCAAGTTTGTTCTTTTTTTCTAGTCTCTAGATAGAATCCTAAAGCGTGGGGCCATTCAAACTAAAGCTGTAAGCAGTGCTTTCCTATAGTATTTTTTATTTATATCCCCTACAGAGTGGTTTTCTTAGTCCTGATCGATGAAAACTATTGCAAAGTACCTTCCTTTCATTCTGCTAACTTCTGATTTAATCAGTGGCCATTTTGAAATGAAAGCTCCTGTATCGATTTTCTCCTTTCGCTGAATGCGACAGACTCTCGCGTATTAACTCCCAAGGTGCGTTAGTGTAAAGGAAGTAACATTTGCTTGGTGGCAATAAATATGATTATGAGACGTATCGAGTCACTTGGATAGATAGCTACTGAGTAAAACCTTAACATGCCTTCTGATGAGAAGTAGCAGTAATTTATAAAGCGTCGGAAGTTTACTCATCAGTGCATTGTTTGTTGACTTTGATTGGCACATTCATACTGCGATTTACTGAGGATGGGACGCATTTTCGTTTTGTCTCTAGTCATGCAGTCTGTTACCCTTTTGAGTACGGTTGATTAGTAAACTCACTTACCTACGCCATCTGTTGTGAAGTAACAATATGGCTTCCCTTCAATACTGCTGTCCCAGCAACAACCTTTTGACTTGCACGTAGCTTCATCGATTCCAAACCATCCACAGTCAACGCGGTACCCAGGTTGAACATCACAGCTTCCTGGAATAATGAAACAGATCAAATGACATAGAAGCCGGAGAAAAACAGGATCAGTCTGTGTAGATCTCTAAAATATACATATTTAGCCAAGGCCAATAGCGAAGCACTCGAGGGATCTTTTAAGAAATGTCTTTCTCAAGTAACTCAACTTTTGCCGTTAAGCAGAATTCCACCTTAAAAAAATGGACCTTAGCCCGCGATCAATTAAAAACCAAAAACTGGTCAGCTGGTCAAATACGTCAACTCCATGAGTTCTATACCTGAGACTGCGATACTGTCATGTGACACTGGTCAGCGGATAACCTTTTTGACATCTGTCACTTGGCCATAAAATGGATGTCCAATACCAAGTTGTAACACAAAAAGTATATGCCTTGGAACTTTCCACATCCTCTAAGTAGACGTACGTACGTACGTGCGGACGATTTTGTCGGAACCAAAATTTCTTGGATGCATAGAAAACCAAATTTTCTCACTAATGGTTCTCTGCTGCGAGCGCTTTACGTACGCAAGAGCCGCTCGGCTATTAGAAGAGTAACTTGGGTCAGACTTGTAGTCAAATGTTTTAAAGAGGCAACAGTGAATGAAGTGGAGCTGAGTTACTATAAGACCCCCAGGGTACGTATCCTGCGGGGCCGGAGTGGCCGGGGAGCGCTTTCATTCAGTTTTCATTCTGCGTTGACTTAGACCTGGTTCAAGGAAAAGAAATACACGTGTGAACTAACTTAACGCAGATGCAAACGCAGGAGTAAGCACCGAGGCAAGAAATGGTAAAATGTTCACTTCCTTGCATATCCATTTGCACAGTGTGAGTTAGTATGTTCGTACATTGCACACGAGTGACCGGCCCAACGCAACGCAAACGCAAATGCCATCACGGCTCAGTGAAAAAGTCTTGGGCTGTGCCTGCGTATCTGTCATCCTGGCGTTTGCGTTGAAAGTATGGGCGTTGTTTGTATCTGCATTTGTTCTGCGTTTGCACTTGCAACGCAAGGCGTGAACCAGGCCTACATGTTTATTGGTTGCATCTCTACACAACTCCATACTTATTGCGATTCAATTATTAGAGTTAATGACTATAATAGGACTGACACATCGAATGGACCTATACAAAGGACTATACATAGATTGCTGTGTGGTGAATAGCAGCCTTTGGTGAGTTTCCCTGGTATTTTGAAGATCTCTCCTCACCCGAATTCTTTAGGAAATATATGGTGCAAAGAGAAGAGAATGTGTAATACATTACATTATACTCTGCTTTAGAAGCATTTAGTCAGTTTACCTCTCTCGCTTTTCTCTCCCGGAACGACTGCTGTACCAACAAGTAAAACGACAAGCATAACTATTTTTTCTTCCATTCTATGCTGCAGAGGAAAGAAAGAAGAAATGTGAAAATACCCGGCCCTGCAGTTCCTTGATCAAGGAGTATAATGATATTAATTCCTTATTAAAGCACTGTGTTTTCTAAATGGTGCCACTCGACGCGCAAGGTTTTAAAAGCCGAACTGTGGTATATCTTAAAACAAGGCTGAACCTTTTTTAACCAAAACAAAAACCCGAACACAATAAGGAAAATATACTATTCCGGATGGTGATGGTGAAGTGTAAATATTTCAAATTATGTCGCGTGTTCAACCTTTTGCCATGCAATTGTCTACTTTTTTACGCTATCCCAAAGTTTCCAGACCAGTCTTGCTGCACTAGCTTGTATAAAACTTAACAGTGCGAAAGCCTGTGAATGATCTGAGTTTACTTTTTCGTGAAATTTTCCTTCTTTCGCCACATGACTTAAGGTAACAATATTTACAGCTACACAAACCACGTGGAACTGAAGCGCATAAGCGAGAGCTTGCATATTTGAAAAATTGATGTATCTCGTGAACATACTGCAGAAAGATCATCTGAATACCATACCGTGTTGAAAACTTGTTCACTGAATCTCAGTGTGAAAGCTCCGTCTTGAAACTCGGCCGTATATCCTACGTTGAAAAGATTGCTTTACCTTTAAACACGCTTAATAATAACATCTCAGTGAAGGATAGACAGTTGTCAAAAAATACCCATTAGGAAAGACAGTTAGAAGGCTACTTTCAAACAATAATTTAAAATCATTAGAGCAGTTCTGCCATCTCGGCGTTTTGACTGTCGAACGACCACTTAGAGACAGTACACGTGGATTACATTAGGGAAGATTGCATGGATATTTCTTTAACAGAAAATTTGAAGTTTTGCTCTTTATCTATCGTTAAATGCCAGAAGTCGAATACAACATGGAGGACGGTCGTTTGCGCTGCGCTGTATATCAGCTAAAGCTATTCGTTTATGATACAAACTAATGGAGAAGGTGGCTTGAGTTATGGTTAAATATGCCACCAAGGAATTTACTATCGGCAAAACTGCGCTTTTGAAACTGACGAATCAATATAACATACAGATTATCAGCTAAAGTTGGGTTTTGTTTCATAATAATAAGCTCAAATAAAAAACAGCTAATTCGCATAGTACTGAAAAAATTACAAGTATACAAGGCTGAAATAATAGTAGATTAATGTTTTTTTATCTGTCTTATTTTCATGCAAATGTATATGTCTTTGTCTTGATAAATGTTTGAAAACTCACGCACAAAATACGTTTATTTTAGAAAAAAAGACACAATATGTCGCATGATGAATGCTTCTCATGCGCGATTCCTTGAAAAATAGTTAATGGCTACTTTCTGCAGTACAAGCTAAAAACCAAAACAGTTCCTGTACAACCAATTTTATTAACTTTTTGGAAGATCTTGCAAAAAAGGTTTTTTCAGTTCTTCAGCATAAATAGTTCATTTACTATTAAAAAGCCGAATTACATGTACGTGCTTTGACTGAGATCCATTTTTATCAAGAAGACTGCAGAATACAGAATGCAGTCACACTGGAGATGTTTTGGGTAAACCAGTATTCAACCTAGCTAGTATTCCACATAATCGTTCAAGAAATTAATAAAAATGCCTTAAATTTATATATGGTAAAAGTTAAAAGCTAAAGGCGACTATAATTACAGTGGTAAAGACAGAATGTTTCAAACAGGCACTATCGGCAAAATTGTGCTTTCAAAAGAGAGTATCAGCATATGATGAGTTTCATACTATCTGCAAAATAGAGGATTCGCCTTAGAATGAGCTCAATAAAAATCAGCTAAGGCATGTAATGAAAAATACGAGTATAAGCTGATGAAAAATACATACCTATGTGTATATATGTCTAACGTCTAATTTTTATGCAAATGTATTTGTCTCAACGCTTTCAAAACTCACGCAAAGTACGTTTGTTTTAGACTGACTCATGACAGATCGTGCAAAACAGCAAATTGGGTCATTTAACAAAAGCCTCATTATAAGATATGTAACTGACGTGCATTCAGGGATCCGTTTTTATTAGTCAAAAGACATCAAAATTCCACGGACATCAAATATACAGTCGACTCTCTCTTGACGGACACCTCTATAAGACGGACACCTCTGTAAAATGGACACCTAGAGTTGGTCCCTGCCTTTCTTTACTCCCTTTATTTGACTCTCTATAAGATGGACACCTCTCTAAGACGAACACTTGGTGCCGGTCCCAAAGGTGTCCGTCTTGGAGAGAGTTGACTGTACCCATCATGAGGATGAACCAATGAGTAAAGCGGCACTGCTTACTGGCCCCAGCAGGGCATTGGTCATTATTTACAACGGCCCTAACCAATTTTTGGTCGTGCATCGTATTTATTGTTTTCTATATACTTTGAAAATAAAAAAAGATCCTATTAAGCTACAAAACTTAAGCATATTTCTTCGGTTTTAGCGCTCTAAAAAAGTAGTATATTTGTAAATTCCATTTTTATCACCGAGTATTTGGTCTAAGGTAAGCACGTTCTTCCGATAAGATCACGGTAAACCCTGGATACCACCGTTACCACGGTTAACGCGGGTTAAAGGTTGCAGTGTGTACGTGATATGGCCGTCGGATCCAAACACATTCAGCTGGCCTTTGGTTCGTGTTTCATAGTCGCCATCCCAGAATGCCCCTCTCCCTGAAAAACAATAATAAAATTAAGGAAAAAATTCTCGGGAGAGCGCTTTTCTGTTGTGATCTTCGGTTGCTGAAACCTTTTTTTTAGTAATTTGGCAGAACATCTTCAAAGATTGAAGGCACTTAAAAGTAATTTTTTTACCTATAAAAAACACCCGAATCCTCTCACCCGTTCCTCCAGATTGTGAGCAAGCTCGCTGCATAATCCGCTGGATGGATCACATACTTATTTGCGCAATCCACCAACATGAAAAAGGTCAAGACAAAAAACAAACAAACAACTTTACTGGCTTCCTCGAACAAATATTAGGAAACTAATATTTTATGATTTACAAAGTGACTGACTGGGCCAGTTCTGATTTTTGGTAAGCGCCCTTAGACAACTAACAAATAAATTAAATCAAAAGAAAGAAATGCACGGTGTGTCTTACAAACACAGGGATATGTTTGTACCTTTAGCTTGTGGCCCTAGCATACGGAAGCTATTTTTCAGGGCCAGGACGTTGCAAGAAAATGAGAGAGGTATGGTACCTAGAGTCTGAAAATCCCGGAAGCACTTCCGGTTTTAATATGTCTCTCGCATTGATAGTCTCTCTTGCCGATCACAGCTGACTTGTTTGGTTCAAAACATGAGGATTCCAAGAGAAAAATACAGATTATAGAAATGGAGAAAGGACAACACAATCAAAAGAAATCGATAAGCAGTCGCAGAAGAAGGTAAATAATGTCGATTTAGAAAATTTCCTCAGCGACGAGAAGTAATTATAACCAGGGAAGTGAACTGAACCTAGTGAAATTTCTTGTCGAATTATATATGTATCACAGACATATATAGACTGATTTCCATGGAAATAACATACTTATAAAAATAATTAATAAATATATAACATTATATAAATAGTTGTAGTTTCTTAAATCTGATAACTAAATATATTTAGTTATAATAATTAAATGCAGCCGACGAGTTCTGGTTAAAATTTAAAAGAGAAAAGTATCTGCTCTGATTGACTTACAGTTTCTTAGCTTTCTTAGGAAATCAGAAAAAAATTGTTCATTAGTTTGCAGTGAACTATGCCACTGTTGCCGTTTTTAACACAATTCATTGAATCATTGTTGAAACCCGATGAGTGTCACGTCATTAAATACTGTCTAATAAGAATAAACCCCTTTTCAAATTTTAAAAAAATAAGGATATGACTAGAAGATATAAACGTGAGCGAATTCTCCCATGATTTCTGTGTTTTTGGCTTTTAATGCCAGCTTCATTCGGAGAAATCTTTCACCCTAACTCATAGAGTTAAAGAGACACCTGAACTGTGGGTGTCCTTCGGCATCAATATGCAATAATTCATTTCACGTCACGCAAGCTTGAAGTTAATGAAGATCGCAAGATAAAGCGGATCCGCCTCTGTTTGGCTACCTGAGCTTGCACAATGGACCCATCTTGCCGTCCCGCTCGCCATTTTTTTATGTTCAGTGACGCATATACCGTAAACTTAGGCTTACAAGCCCGTCCGCCGGGTTAATTGCTGGGTATGTGCCGCTGGTCTGACAGAGCCCCTACCCCATTATCGTCTATTCTGTGACCAATTATAGACCCCAACTTAGTCACTTTTGGGCAAATATGTAATTTTCGCGATCCCAACCCGAGTCACTTTCTATTTATCATTATCTACCTTATCAATCCTTTAAATAGGTCATCCAAAATTGAATTGACCCATTTTTTAATAAATTGAATGAAGAACACTTTACTTTTCACCTACAGTACAAATTTTCTGGTACGCTTGCTAACCGTGAATATGAACAACTTCAGTTCTTACCCCAAAAATCCGAAAATGTGCGACCCCATTGTAGTAACTCTATTGAAAATGCGACCCCATTATAGTCAATCCAGTCGTAAAAATGCGACCCCATCCAGTGGTACATCCCTATTAGCCTCTAATAAGGAAGTGCCCCCCCCGAGGGTTATAGGCCTCTCCCGGATGTAAGTCTCTCTACAGCTTGTAATGAATTCTATTTTTTATAACGTTTTTGAAGTGTCGTGACTTGCGTTCCTGATTTGCGTTACATGTTTGTAACGTACCTTTTTATCTAGGATTAGTTTTTGAACTTTGAACAATCTTTGCCTGAACTTGGCTGAAATTTTAGGTACTGACGGAATTGTCTGTATTTTTCCGCTCCACAAATTCCCGGACAAATGCAGGACTACATACCACGACCTGAAAAGCCGCATTGATGAAGAAGTTCGCGAACAATTTGTCCCTGTTCCCAAGCATCTGATTGGAAGTGTAATCGGCAAGAAAGGCAGCACGATTAAACCAATCAAAATGCAGTCAGGTGCGAGGATAACAACTCAAGATGGAGCTGACGCAGGGCAGCATGTTGGATTTATGGTCTGCGGCACTTAAGAACAAATAAATTGCGCAGTAAAGCTTATAAATGAAAAACTGGTAAGAATTTAGGTACATTTGCAGGTACAGGTCTTTACCCCTCTCCTTGCCTTCATTCGTAGTCTCCCTTGATTCCGGAATCCGGGAACTTTTTTCTTGTGGAATCCGAAATCCTGGACTTTGGAATTTAGGGATCAGGAATCCCACTAACAATTGAATTCCTGAATCCAAGCCGGATTCCAGAACCCGGGAAATTTTTTGCTTGTGGAATCCGAGACCCTGGGCTTTGGAATCCAGAAAACAGCTCAAGGGACCCGGAATTCTACTAATGATTGGTTTCCAGAATCCAAGTTCCACTGACAAAGATCTGGAATCCAGTAATCCAAGACTTTCCTGAATTCCCTTAAATGGGGCGATTCCAAAGGCTTGTCGCCTTCATTTCAAGCGCTTGACTTAATGCTGTACTTTACCTACCTCTAAGTCCCATAAAATGCCACGGCAAAAATTACGATAATATACTTTTAAGATTAATCTCGTTAGCTGGACTGCCTCAATGTCTTTAGATTCTTGTACATACTGCATGTGTTTTTGCGTCAGCTTAAGATACTGCATCGGGAGACTCTTCATCGAGCACATTTTCATTTGAATGCTTAAGATTCTCTTTATCAGAGGGAAAAGCCGCCTTTCATAAAAGGCTACCTGCACGGACTTTGAAAGATAGGCCGTTCACACTGCCTATATTTTAAGGGATCGTCGAGCGGGCGTATGAAAATAAATTGATTGATTGATTTATTGATTGATTTAGCCAGTGGAGAAAAGACGAAGACTGGCAGACGCCATGCCTCCCCCGGTCAACTAGTGAATATTCCAAGCCAGTTTCAGAGGGTAGTAAATGGTCCGGGGGAAGACAATCTTCGAAACGTTAGCACTGTAAGTGGGGCAGCGGTGACGGCAGTGGATGCTGGTCGTAACCTTTACGTCACAGGTGATAACAAGAAAGTACAACATGCTAAGTATCTATTACGAAGCAAAGTGGTGAGCTAACATATTTTTTTTATCTGATTATCAAGTTAAGTTTACTCAAGAGAGGCTCTTGGTTTACTGAGTTGCAAATGATTTCGGTTTATTAATTTGACATCAGTAAAAGTGTTTCTGTCAAACACTTGTGCTTAGCTTGCCATGTTTTCCTTTCAAAATCGCCTTAGTTCCTGTTGTTCACGGGTCTTTTTTTCAGTGTCGTTTCATTACCGTGGCCGTTGTCGGATCGTAAGGTCCCTACCGGCCTAGTCCCTATCCGTTCTCGGCTCGTTCAATCCTGGACTCTATTGTGAGCTGTGATGTCACCGAGAGAGACTCGCCCAACATTTTTGCCAGGGCCAGAGAGAACGCTTAGGGAATAGCCTGGTTCCAACTTCGATACACTTTTACTAGTGAAGATCGAGTAGGACAATTATCAGCTCTTGTGCGCACTCTAATGAAAATATAAAGTGGAGTGAAAGGAAGTATGTGAACACCATAAACCATTCAAAGAGTTGACTAGTACCCAAAATGGTACCCCTGCTGTTAGGTACCCACCATAGCTTTGGAAAAAAAAAAAAAAAAAAAAACAGTAGTTTCTCTAGCAACCTTTGTGGCATTACAGGTGTGGTATGGAATCCCTAATGAAAGGGTTCCCAAGTCTCTACTAAATAGTGGGTAAGTTGGGGAGGGAGGGTGTGTGTAAATGAGAGTGTTGTAGGCATAAAAACAAATAAAATTGGTTAATAGTTAATTAGTTAGAAAAAGCACCAATATTGAGCGACCAACAAACTGCAATGCAGCCACGTCTAACACAATACACAGTGCAAAGTAAAATAAAAGGAACTGAAGGGTTAATATATAATATAATATAAAGTTAAGGACCTTGAAGCGAGGGAAACAGGTTTCTAGGGCAATTATAGATCCACTAGCTATAACCGTAGCAAGATGCCTGCGGCATTGACACATGAAAGTACTGAAAGGTCTTGGAAATAAAAAGTACTTGATTACTTACTCTAAAATACTTCAGATAGCCTCCACAGCAGACCAATTAGCAAACAAAAAAAAACTTGGAAGCTCCTCAGCTAGTAGACAAAAATTCCTCTTCTCATGGATGTGGCCCACAAAAAGTAGCAAAAACAATTTTTTTGCTGCTCACGCCATAAGTAATCGTCAGCATGATGACGTACAAAATGACTTTTTTATATAAAAATAATAATAATAATAATTAAATAAACTCCCAACCAGAAAATATAATTATCTATAATGTTATTTCGTTCTTTAAAACTTTGAAAGTAGCTAAAAAGCCAGTTGCTGTGCAAAATGAGAGGAGCATGGGAACGAATTTATCCCAGCTAAATGAAAAAAGAAAATGGGCGGGAAAAGAAAAGGGAGGGGGGGGGTTAAACCCTCTTTAAAAATTGTTATTAAAGAAGATAAATAATTTGCTAACCACAAAATATGATCATCTATAATATTATTTCGTTCTTTAGAACATTGAAAGTAAGGTAAAAAAAAAAAAAAAAACAGTAGCTGTTCTAATTAAAGGAGGGTGTTAAAAGAAGAACAGAGGATTTAAGTAAAAATAAATAAATAAATAAATAAACATCTACCATAAAAAGAGGAAGTGAGAAAAGAAATAAAATAACAACAACAACAACAAGAATACTCATCCTGAATTACTTCGTTCTTGAAACTTTTCAGTGTAGAATTCCAGGAAGTCAAAAAAGGTAATTTGCAGATAAAAGAAAACATGGAAAAGTAGGAAAGAAAAGGTTAAGAGACCCGGGTGTATCGGGACAATGGATGCATCGACACCAAGGCTCTAAAAAGTTGTGAATCATCAGGGGCATAGCACAACTGAGCAAGAATGTTTCTAACCGGGTACCAGGTCATATGCGCGACATTCCCGTGTCGAGTCCAGGAAAGAAGGAAATTGCTCAAAAAATCTATCTCAATCTCCTGCATAGGTCAAATAAAATTAATCTAAACAAAGTAGAGTAAATAAATTAGAGAACAAAATACATATATATTGAAAAATAAATAAAAGGCAATTAAAAAATAATTATAATAATAAAGAACTAGTGAAAACTATATGAAGTGCCAGTGTGGGAGGAGATAGTAAAAATATGTACCAAGTGTAGCCCAGGATCATTGCGCGAGGCTGCAAAAGTTCTTAAGATCGTCGAGATCGACCGCCAAGATGGCCGCCCTTTCGGGTAAGCACTCGATCCTGACGATCTTACGAAACAATCGGGGACTGTGGATAGTCTAGCTAATCTGAAAACAAGTGTCACTGTGCTACAAGACCACCTTGATGTATGCCTTTAATAACAAGCTTATTTATTTTTTGCCCAGTGAGAAATGTACTTAAGTTTGTGTTGTTGTCATTCCTGCACAGACGCAGTGGAGTAAACACGCGATGTTTAGTACCCGAAGAGCGGATGTAATGCGACACGGAAGACTTCCGGTGGGAGAAAAGCGTTACAAGTGCACACAATGCGGGGAGTGCTTCGGTAGGATAGAAAACCTCGTGAGGCATCGCAAAACACACAAAGACGATATTCAGCGATTGCAGTGCAAGAAGTGTGAGAAATGTTTTACCACTAAGGCTCATTGCCAGCGACATGAAGAAACGGTGCACTCTAATGAAAAGCCTTTCCAGTGCAAACAGTGCGGGAAGAGATTTAACAGGGCAGATGTCTTGGCTAAGCATTTTACAATCTCGCACAGTCAGTGCGGCAGGAGTTTTTCGAATGCCGGAATTCTTGCCTCGCACAAGCTAAGGGCCCATAACTTGCTACAGCATTCCAAATGCAAGAATTGCGGTAAGGGTTTTAGTAACGCAGCGAAATTTAGACAGCACGAGCAAATTCACGCAGAAGAAAAACCTCACAAATGTGAACAGTGCGGCAGGCATTTTACTAATGCGGGCAATCTTGCGTTGTACAAGCTGAAGACGCATGGCTTGCCTCAGCGTTTCAAATGCAACAATTGCGGTAAGGGTTTTAGTAATGCAGCGAATTTTCGACAGCATAAGCAAATTCATGCAGAAGTAAAACGTCTCAAATGTCAACAATGCAGCATGCACTGTACGACTCATCAAAGGAGTTTTAAACGTAAGGACGACCGTAAGGGCTTGAATGGTGCAGCTAGTCTTAAAGGACATAAACAAATTCATTCCCGAGAAAAACGTCCCAAATGTGAACAGTGCGGCAGGCGTTTTACTAACGCAGGCAATCTTGCCGTGCATTCCAAGACTCATCTAAAACATGAGCAACCACGTGCTTTAGGCAATCGCGTCAACCGTAGCAAGACAGACGCCGCGCAAAAGCGATATCGGTGCTGGGAATGCGGCAAAACCTTAACAAAAGGCAACTGGAAAAGGCAGAAGAGGACACACACAGGAGAGAAACCCTACCAATGCAAAGTCTGTGGAAAATGGTTTGCTGATTCAGGAAATTGCACTCGACACACCCAAATATATTCGAGCGAAAAGCCCTATAAAGGCACAAGTACAAAGACTGGTGTGTTTATTGACGATGCCGGTAATCTTCAGCAGAATACGGAAGAACGTTATGTTAATTCGCAAGCACGTGAACAGCATCGAAAAAAGGGCACAGAGGACAGACCCAGATGCAAACAGTGTGGCAAATGTTTCACCTTGCTGGAAGACTTGAACAGACACATGTTGGTTCACACACGAGGTGAGAAGACTTTTGCGTGCCAGTACTGCGGAAAAACTTTCCCCACGCGAGATAATTGTAATCGTCATGAAAGAGAGGTCTCGCATACAAGTAATAAGGCTCGGATGTCTCTTAAGGCAAAACCACGTTCGAAAACTGGGGTACTACTGCCGAAAGAAGCAAACCTGCAACGGAATGAAGAACATCTTGGTCTGAAAGGGCAAACGCGCAAACAGCATCGAAAGAAGGACAAAGTGGACAGACCCAGATGCAAACAGTGTGGCAAATGTTTCACCTTGCTGGAAGACTTGAACAGACACATGTTGGTTCACACACGAGGTGAGAAGACTTTTGCGTGCCAGTACTGTGGAAAAGGTTTCCCCACGCGAAGTAATTGTAACCGTCATGAGAGGTCTCGCATACAAGTAATGAGGCTCGGACGTATCTTAAGGCAAAACCACGTTCGAAAACTGGGGTACTACAGCCGAAAGAAGCAAACCTGCAACGGAATGAAGAACATCTTGGTCTGAAAGGGCAAACGCACGAACAGCATCGAAAGAAGGGCAAAGAGGACAAACTCAGATGCAAACAGTGTGGCAAATGTTTCACCTTGCTGGAAGACTTGAACAGACACATGTTGGTTCACACACGAGGTGAGAAGACTTTTGCGTGCCAGTACTGTGGAAAACGTTTCCCCACGCGAGGTAATTGTAATCGTCATGAAAGAGAAGTCTCGCATACAAGTAATAAGGCTCGGACGTATCTTAAGGCAAAGCCACGTTCGAAAAATTCGCACCAGAAGACGCATAGTGTCGAGTCTGTGCAAGATGTACACAGCTGTCAAGACAATGAACTTGACAAGCAACCAAAGCAGAGTGAACCTAACACTTGCTGGATCTGCGCTGAGGAATTCCCAAGTGAGGTGGCTCTACTGAGACACTACGAGAACCATATGAAAAAAGTTGTATCTGAAGATGATTGAACCATAATGATTAATTGAAAGCTAAAACGTCTGGACAGATTGGTCATGATAAGATCTTTTTTTTGTAGAAATTCTAACCAAAAAGTACCAAGGACTTTTTGTTTGTTTGTCTTTATTTTATTTAATAACTGAGCAGCCACTTTTGTCATCCCAGGTTATTTGTGGCTTAACACTTCGGTCTTGGTTTAAGGATCAAAGAGAGTTAACCGGTTAAGTCGCCCGAAAGTCACCCCGCTCGAAGTTGTGTCGCCGAAACCAGAGTTAAGTCGCCCGAAATGCCGAGTCATGTCGCCCGATTTTATCAGGTGAAGTGCACCGAGAAACGTTAATTTTAGTTAAATAAAGAGTGGGTATGTGGTAAATGAGTGCGGGACAAATGGTAATAGGAATGCTAGGATATCGTTGAGGCATGGTAAAATTTCGAGCCAATTAACTCAGCATTTCGGGCGACATGACTCTGATTTCGGGCAACTTGTCCGTAAACCATCAAAGAGGAATATCCGGCTCCTAGATATAGTTTTCGCCCCATGAGAGGGAATCCGGATACCTGAATCCGGGAAATTTTTGCTTGGAATCCGAAATCCTGGGCCTTGGAATACGTAATACAGCTAAAAGAATCCTGAATCCGGCTAAGGATTGGAATCCGTATTCCAAGTTCACTGACCAAGAATCCGGAATCCTATACCTGGAATCTGGAATCCACGGCGTGGAATCCAGAATCCAAGACTGCTTGAATTCCATTACATGGAGCGATATTTTTCAGTGGCATTGGCTGGGCACTTTCAATTGACTGATAACCATTTAACTTTCTAATATTCATTTCACTAGGAGTCGATGTTTCTGAAATATAATCAGCTTTTATTTAATATGCTTTTACATCATATTGCTGCCCATGCATTACTTTATGTTTAACATTTATGCCCCTTTTAAATCCGCTATCTAGACAGATATCCGGTACTGGAGCTTCCATAAAACTTCAGTGGTGGTGTTTCTGTAAAACAGTGCACAATCGTTAGAGTATGTTACATATACATGTTATGTTACCACGCCGTAGTTGTTAAAGATGGATAAACCTCTATTAATCTGGCCCAGTTATCTAACTGTGGCCAGTGTGTTCCGTCAGATTTTCTAAACACCGAGAAGTAATTTGAAATGCATACGTGTATTTCACGCTGGATATTTTTTCGAGCAGTTGGCCAAAGGATTTTGTGAAGTCGTGTTGGGATGTGTCAATTCGTGCACCAATAAAATTTCTTGGACTTGATTTTTGTAACGCATAACTTCTAAATTGGCTGTGTCCCAAAAGGCCATTCTAGTCATGCGCGGTAATAATCTGAAGAATCAAGTATTTCAAACTGCACTGACAGTTTCGCTTCATGATCTTTATTGTCTAGGGACAATTGATCGCCTAGATCTTAACGACAACGTAACAAAAAAACTCCAGCGTGGAGTAGTGTAGGAGCTGCTCGTAAGGTCTCTCCTGATTGGTCGCAGGAAACAATGACATGTCATTCTTCCAATTGTTTTAGTATTATTAGGGGTCAGGGAAACGCACCACTGGTGACTTCCCTTCCGAGCAGCTCCTACATGCGCATGGAGGGGCTGGAAGTAGCGTTGAGGCCCTGATGGGAAGTGGGATGGTTTGGGTATCCCAAGTATCCCTAACTCTGAGAATATATATCCTTATCCCTAGGAATATATATGGTGTAACATGGCGTTACTGAGCACCAGTGACGTCAAATAAAATGGCTAAAAGTCATCCCTTTTGTGCGTTTTAAGTGTATTTTTCAAATGGATTTCTATTAACAACTGTCTAAAAAATTCGTTGCTAGAAAAGCACCTTCTGTTCACTAAAACTGCTTTCATTTTTTGACACGTTTTCTCAGTTCTTTAAGAAAAATAAATGGAGATGAGTCTTGTGGTTAGGTCTTAAAAGCCCGGGAGGGGACTCCCATATAAAAGTGACGGAAATGCTTGTCGGAAAATTAAAATTAAAACCCTAAGGTAGACCAATGTGGGTGTGGCTTAACCCTTTAAACGCGAAGAGTGACGAGTATCAAATTTCTTCCTGTCTTAACAATCCTTTGCAAAACAGAGTGGTTATGAGAATTACAGACATGATCACACAAGATGAATTTACTTGCTG